GCCCTAACTTGTTAGGGTAGAGGGCAATAAAATTATGTGTGGTTATCACAATAGCCATTTTCCTGCAACAATCACAGGATAGGCTTACATCTATGACCTCAGCAAACATGTACTAGGCACAAGGGGAGCCTGGTATAAAAATTTTGTTGCACCTGAAAAACAGTACAAAGGAGCTGCTTTTATTATGGCAGAAATGTATTCCCATTTTTCAAGAACTGAGCAGTCATTCAAACATAGCACTTCACATTTTTGTTATTAACAGTAGTACAATAAGTGGAATACTTTATGATTTACTAACAATAATGATAGTTAGATAGGTTTTAATTCTACATCTTCAACCCAGAGAGCTTGCAGTTCCAATCTTCCATATATTACAGGCACTTAAACTCAATGTGTCAACAGTGAGTTTAATTCTCTCATGTCCTTCCACAATCTATTTATTCTCTCATTTCCCATCTAGTAAATGACACCCCCTTCCAGACAGTTGTTCAAATTCGAAGAAAATAAAAAGGATTGCAGAAGGAAGGAACGAAGACAAGCAAATTTGATAACTCAGTGTTACCCCACATACAATAACCAAGATCCCTTGATTCAATGTCCTCAGAATATTTTGAATCTACTTACCTGTCCCTTTACCTTTTTTTTTGAGCCAGTTTTACTCTGTCACCCAGGCTGAAGTACAGTGGCACAATTTTGGCTCACTGCAACCTCCACCTCTCGGGTTCAAGCGATTCTTCTGTCTCATCCTCTCAAATAGCTAGGATTACAGGTGCACGCCACCACACCTGACTAATTCTTGTATTTTTAGTAGAGACAGAGTTTCGCCATGTTCATTAGGCTGGTCTTCAATTCCTCACTTCAGGTGATCCACATTCCTCGACCTTCCAAAGTGCTGAGATTACAGGCGTGAGCCACCATGCCTGACCCTTTCTCCCCCTTTACTGATTGCTGTTCCTTTAGCTTGGGGTTCTACCATCACTTGCCCAAACAAGAGTAAAAGCCTTCTAATGAGCTGCTGCCTCCAGATTTCACCCTCTAACCTAGCCCTAATTTCGGTCTGGATGACTGTACTCAAATAATCATCCCAGTAATCCTCTTTCCTGTGCTTGACTAACGTACAGCACTTTCCCTATTTGGACTATCCTCTCAGTCTCCCATGTGAAACTATCTGCAAACTCATTTCAAAAAAAAATTTTTTTACCCAAGATGGATTCTTGTTTCAGGCTGGAGTGCAGCCCTGAAATCTTGGCTCACTGCAACCTCCGCCACAGCCTCTGGAGTAGCTGCGATTACAGATGTCTGCCACCATGCCCAGCTAATTTTTTGTATTTTTAGTAGAGATGGGGTTTCACCATGTTGTCCATGCTGGTCTTGAACTCCTGATCTTGTGATTCACCCACCTTGACCTCCCAAAGTGCTGGGATTACAGGTGTGAACCACCATACTCTGCCTTAGTTTCAAAATCTACTATTACAAATTTTCTTATACTAACCACAGTTTATCAATCACTTTATCCCTCATACCCATACTCACGCTACAATATTTTACACTTAGCACATACAATTTTTCCAACATTGCACATGCCTACCTTTATTAAGAAAATATATATGACTTTAGAATTTTTCCCTATACCCAATACCTAGTAGAGTTCTTTTTTAGCAAGTGCCAATAAATTGTTAAAAGATCAATACATGTATGATTCTTACAGTTATCAAGAGCACAGTCTTAGAAAAATGATAGAGCTGATTTTAAATCCTAAATCTAACATGGGTTGTGTAACCCTGCAGAAGCTACTAATATCTCTTAAGTTCACCTTCTTCTACGTGAGGAGAGATGAAGCAGTTTGTGAAGTGTGCTACACTTGAGTGAATGGCTCAGGTAAAGCACACCCAAGTCACCTTTATTTGGTACAGATGAGGAGGTATAGACAAGGGAGACAGGGGGTTGTATGCAATCCTTCAGGCCTTCCTCAAGCTCAGGGGAAACCTACTTTGTTGAACATAGACAGATGTCCTGAGGCTGTGATTCAGTAAAGAAACCCCACCCACTCGCAACAGCACCTTCCTTTCAACAGAGATTGTGGGAGAATGGTTTTGTATGTCTGGAGAAAATCCAGTCTGATCTTGGGTCTGTGCTACTTAAGGGAGCTGCAGACAAAATCTTTCAATGGGATGCTTGTGGTGATAGGAACTACAGCCTTTCCTTCTGAGGGTGGGGAAAGCCAGTAGTCCCAGCTATTCCTTTTCCATGTCACTCAGAGAAAACTATACATCTTATTCAGTAGACAATTCTGCTTGTCTCCTCTGACTCCTGCAAGAAATGGCAATATTCATGTGCCTGCTTCCAGACATTGTCACCAACAAATCAGTAGATGTTTATTCTTTACAGTCTCTGACATATATTAACTGTTTAATAAATGATGGCTATATAATATCGTTTTAATAAATTAATATATTGCAAAGCCAATGCTATGAATAAGTAGAAAATGTGAGCATGACTATGGTGTAATTGAGGTATTAAAGTCAATCAAAGTCAATTTGATCAAACACATTCCCATAAGATACTCACATCCAACCCATTCTTGGATTATTTTCTGATTACCTACAAGAATATTTGTCCATTAAGTTTATTACTTTTTCTCCTTTAATAATGGTTTAAAATTACACAACCATAATTTGCCATTAACTCCTGCCATACTATTTCCCTATATGGGTTTAAGTTTGAATTTAAAATCCTATTGGCTCCTGGTACTACTATTTTAACCATGGGTCAATGTGAAAAGAAGAATGACCAAATACATGGACAGTATGCTCACCCCAAAGATAGCAAATGAAGTCCCAGCAAAAAGAATATTCCAGAAGGTTGCAGATCAAGAAAGGTGAGGGGGAGGTTTTAGTTATCATGAGTCACAGAGCAGCAGATATCTCAAAAGAACCCGTACTTTAGTTATCACCACCATGTGGACATTATACCTGGTGCTTTAGAGCCAGCAAAACAGCATAAACAGTCTCATTAAACTGTTGCTCTTAAAGTTATGTTTGTTAATATTCAGTTTATATCCTAGATTTAACGCATACTAAGTGTGTGGTATTGAACAAATTGCTTAGTGTTTCTAAGAACCTGTTTTCTCTCTAATAAATGGGTGGTTTGAGGATTAAATTATTAGTAGAATGTCTATGAAAAATTACATGCACAATAACTGTTAGCTAGTTTTACACTGTGATAGACAAGTATTTTGCAAGGTGGACACTCTGAATAAGTGGAGAATATAACCGTAAATAGGAAGCACTTTGAAATTTGTTTTACTAGTTGTCCATCATGTGACATGAGCTTTGCTAAACTCAATGATCCAAAGACAAATAAGACTACTGTCCAAGCTCTAGTTTCCAGAATCAAAACTGCGGGTAGGATTTTTTTTAATGCATTATTTTATTCAGGTGTTGTATTTGTGATGTGAGGAACTAACATGGAGTAGATAAGCTGGACTGTTGAGGCCAGGAAAGCCTGCAATTACAGTGGACAGACAGTGAGAGGTTAGTTGGTCACTGACCCATCTCTATTATTCAACAACTAGAGGAAATGTCAACATGAGCTTGCTTTCTGGAGTTTGGCAAACTTGGCTGCAAATCCAGCTCTGCCACTTCCTGTCTGTGTGGCTGGAGCAGGTCACTCTCTGTAAGCTTTAGCTTTCTCATTTTCAAAGTAGGTGAACGGAGTAGTTACCTAGTAATATTTATCTGAGCTATTTTGAGGAGTCATGAACTGCTTAGAATAGTACAAATAACAAGCACTAAGAAAACAGTGATATTTCTAGAATTACAGAAATTCATGTTATTAATATTACTATTAGTGTTACTGCTATTATTACTATTAATATTATATTAATACTTTTAGTATTATTTTGTAGGTCCTGGAGAAATCAGGGCTGTCAAAGATGTTTGATGGTAGAGATAGACACTGAGAACAACACGAAACACAGGAGAAGACCCAAGCAAACCATGCAACGTGATCCCTCTGTCAGAGTTTACATGACTCACTTGATCCCCTTATGACCTGCTTTCCTTTTACGTAAATAAAGTGAAGCAGAACTTAACTTGGCTTACATCATAAAGTGATAGCATATATGTGAAAAAAGCTTTAGTAGCTAAAAATAAATGTTTACTAGAGAAAAAAACAATATTGTGAAATTGAGCCGTCCTTGGTTCTTTCCTAGATTACTTCATACGTGAGGCTCTGAGCAAATTACTGAATCTCTTCAAACCTCACACTGTTCGTCTGATAATTGTAAATCATATTAACTAACTCACTGTTCCATAATGAAAGAGTATCTAACAGGATAATTTGGCTTGAGGTGTACTATCAATAACTCTTAGGTCCCTTCCCCACAAAAAATATATATAATAATACGCTTCATTAAGAACAGACTAAGTGAAATCTGTGGTTTCCATCTTTTTTATGTGAAAGTATTTTAAACACATGTTATATTCTGGCAGAGGTCTCTACTTTCTCTATTAATTTATACAGAGAGCACGGCTTATTTAAAACTGAATTGCATGACACTGTTTTTAGGCAAAAGAGAAAAATATTTTTTCATTTTATAACAGATGACTAGTTAAACTAAATGGAACACTCTCCCTTTTATAAAACTAAGGATGCCTAAATGAAATTTTGTCAAATATAACTCATGAAGGAAAGTTCTAATACTTAAAAGTTAGAATCAAGTCAATAATATTCTATTTAAATAAATGCATTCACATGTATCCATGAATACCTATCTATCTATCTATCAAGTACTTCCGCCTCTGAATTAAAATGTTAAAGTCGAACAGTAAAGTCAATGTTGGCATGCAGGGGCACACACACAAAAAGCTTTCCACAAAAATCATTCCTATTTTTTATATCTCTTTACATAGCTAAAAAGTCCGTTTCAGTTTGTAGTTTGGCTTTTAAAACATCTCTTTTGATATCTATGTCAGTGTGTTGGATAAACAAACACTTACTGTACGCACATCCAAACACTTCGATTCGCATTCCAATTCTGCCCTTGGGGTTCCATTCTAAAGGGATGAAGTGCAGAAATCTGGCTTTGATAGAAGGCTGGAGTCTATAGTACACAACACTGTCTGCATTTGCATTTCCTGAAAAACCCTACAAGAAAACGGAAAGAAGGAAATCAATGTATATGGAGAATATCCGTTTCAGTTTGTCACCTATAATGTCTATGAGCAATGCGTGATCTGCATTTTACTATGAATGGTGCTACCTTCTACAAGAAAATCACATTAACAGTTATGTCATGATGTCTCTCCATCCACAGAAATCACTGTGGCTTAAACTTTTCTTTTTACTAAGAGAGTTGAAATTCTACCACCCCATTAAACCAGTTTTCAACCACGACACCTGCAATAAAGATTGCTTCTGTAAAGTGTAGATTAAACATAAAAGTATACCATGCCTGTAGCAATTAACATTGTGAATAGTGCCAGAAGAAAGTGAGAAAATATTCTCCAACGGTTGAAAAAATATTATCTAAGTCAACAAAGAAGTTGCTCACATCACTGATGAATGAATCAACTTATGACATGTTTCGCTTCTTTCACTTTCTCATCTAACTTATTAACATAAAGGAAAGTACCACCCAACAATGAAGTCCAAGCTACACACTGGTAACAGGTAGTCGAACCTCAGCAGCATACTGGCATAGACACACATTCAGATTGTTAAGGGAAACTAGAAACAACAATAATTTGGAAGGACCTACAATTAAACTCACGGACTTTAGAATTTTAAAGCTAGAGAAATCTAGCACAGTCAAATTGCAGATAAGGAAATTAAATGTCACAAAGGAGAGGAAAAAAATCCTCTCGTATTTGCAACCATTATATGGTAAGACCAGGAGCTATGCTTCTTCTATAAAATCAGGATGCATCTACCTAACACGTAGCTTACCTGTAACGCCCACATACTGCAGCAAAGAGAATTTGATTCTCCTTGTCAGTCAATCCCCTACCTCTTGCCCCCACCCCACCAGTACCCTATATGCTAAGCAACTTTTGTTTTCTTAACAAGACACACATTGTTAAGACTGCAGGTGGAGCCGGGCGCGGTGGCCCAAGCCTGTAATCCCAGCACTTTGGGAGGCTGAGGCAGGCGGATCATGAGGTCAAGAGATCGAGACCATCCTGGCCAACATGGTGAAACCCCGTCTCTACTAAAAATACAAAAATTAGCTGGGCGTGGTGGCATGAGCCTGTAGTCCCAGCTACTCGGGAGGCTGCGGCAGGAGAATTGCTTGAACCCAGGAGGCGGAGGTTGCAGTGAGCCGATATTGCGCCACTGCACTCCTGCCTAGCACCTGGCGACAGAGTGAGACTCTGTCTCAAAAAGAAAAAAAAAGAAAGAAAAAGAAAAAGAAAAAAGAAAAAAGACTGCATGAAGCAAAAATTATTCTTAATAACTTACATTTCATTTTTATTTCTCCTCCTCCTTGTCATGTTCTCCTCTTCCTCTCCTCCATTTATTTCTTTCATAATAAGGGAACATGCAACTACATTTTCAGGTTCGTGATAGGTACCTTGCCCATGACTTGTTCAACAAATAAGTTCAACTTCATGCAGACTGCACAAGGCAAAGATAAATACACTAGAAGCGCCAGTACACAAAGAGTCTGACCATTCACCTGTTTTTCTTTCTACTTCACAGATAGTCCTTTACTAGCATTTACCAAAACATTTTCTAACACATTTTTAAAAGATTGAGTGTTTTATAGTTAAATTAATTTGATTTTCCTTGTCAATCCATCCCCTACCTCCTGCCCCCACCCCATCAGTACCCTATATGCTAAATGTTTAAGCTCATACAACACAGGAATATCTGTGATCGCATCTTCAAATTATATCCCAAATCGAGGCATCTTTATCTCAATTATGATCACTCAGTTCAACAAAGAATCACCTCACCAGAACTACCTTGACAGCCTCTTTCTGGTCTTTTTTTAAAAATATATATTTTACTGCATTTTAGGTTTTGGGGTACATGTGAAGAACATGCAAGATTGTTGCCTAGGTACATACATGGCAATGTGGTTTGCTGCCTTCCTCCCCATCACCTATATCTGGCATGTCCCCCCATGTTATCCCTCCCCAACTCCCCACCCCCTACTGTCCCTCCCCTAGTTTCCCCCAACAGACCCCAGTGTGTGATGCTCCCCTCCCTGTCTCCATGTGTTCTCATTGTTCAACCCCCTCCCCATGAGTGAGAACATGTGGTGTTTGATTTTCTGTTCTTGTGTCAGTTTGCTGAGAATGATGGTTTCTAGCTTCATCCATGTCCCTACAAAAGACACAAACTCATCATTTTTTAAGGCTGCATAGTATTCCATGGTGAATATGTGCCACATTTTCCCTGTCCAGTCTATTGTCGATGGGCATTTGGGTTGGTAACAAGCCTTTGCTATTGTAAACAGTGCCACAGTGAACATTTCTGTGCATGTGTCCTTATAATAGAACGATTTATAATCCTTTGGATATATACCCAGTAATGGGATTGCTGGGTCAAATGGGATTTCTATTTCTAGGTCCTTGAGGAATTGCCACACTGTCTTCCACAAGGATTGAACTTATTTATACTCCCACCAACAGTGTAAAAGTGTTCCTATTTCTCCACATCCTCTCCAGCATCTGTTGTCTCCAGATTTTTTAATGATCGCCACTGTAGCTGGCATGAGATGGGATCTCAGTGTGGTTTTGATTGCATTTCTCTAATGACCAGTGATGATGAGTATTTTTTGATATGTTTGTTGGCCTCATATATGTCTTCTTTTGTAAAGTGTCTGTTCATATCCTTCACCCACTTTTGAATGGGCTTGCTATTTTCTTGTACATCTGTTTTAGTTCTTTGTAGATTCTGGATATTAGCCCTTTGTCAGGTGGGTAGATTGCAAAAATTTTTCCCATTCTGTTGGTTGCCGATTCACTCTAATGACTGTTTCTTTTTCTGTGCAGAAGCTGTGGAGTTTGATTAGGTCCCATTTGTCTATTTTGGCTTTTGTTGCCATTGCTTTTTGTGTTTTAGTCATGAAGTCCTTGCCTATGTCCTGAATGGTTTGACCTAGATTTTCTTCTAGAGTTTTTATGATGTTAGGTCTTATGTTTAAGTCTATCTAATCCATCTGGAGTTAATTTTAGTGTAAGGTGTCAGGAAGGGGTCCAGTTTCTGCTTTCTGCATATAGCTAGCCCGTTTTCCTAACATCATTTATTAAACAGGGAATCCTTTCACCATTGCTTGTTTTTGTCAGAGCTGTCAAAGATCAGATGGTTGCAGATGTATGGCATTGCCTCTGAGGCCTCTGTTCTGTTCCATTGGTCTTTACCTCTGACTGGAAGCATTCCCTTTGAAATCTGGCACTGGACAAGGATGCCCTTGCTCACCACTCCTATTCAATATAATATTGGAAGTTTTAGCCAGAGCAATCCGGCAAGAAAAAGAAATAAACAGTATTCAATTAGGAAAGGAGGAAGTCAAATTGTCTCCATTTGCAGATGACATTTACAAGACCCCACAGTCTCAGCCCCAAATCTCCTGAAACTGATAAGCAACTTCAGCAAAGTCTCAGGATACAAATTCAATGTGCACAAATCACAAGCATTCCTATACACCAATAACAGACTTAAAGAGAGCCAAATCAAGAACGAAACTGCCATTCACAATTGCTACAAAGAGAATAACATACCTAGGAATACAACTAACAAGGAACGTAAAGGACCTCTTCAAGGAGAACTACAAACCACTCCTCAACAAAATAAGAGAGGACACAAACAGGTAGAGAAACATTCCATGCTCAGAGTCAGGAAGAATCAGTATCCTGAAAATGGCCATACTGCCCAAAGTAATTTACAGATTCAATGCTATCTCCATCAAGCTACCACTGACCTTCTCCACAGAACTGGAAAAAATCACCTTAAACTTCATATGGAACCAAAAGAGAGCCCGCATAGCCAAGTCAATTCTAAGCAAAAAGAATAAAGCTGGAAGCATCACACTACCTGACATCAAACTATACTATAAGACTACAGTAATCAAAACAGCACGGTACTGGCTCCTGGTCTTTTTTAATGTCTTGTTCTTTGTCATCACTCCCAGTATCTTCCCCTCTGAGCACACAGTAACACTTGTGAAGGTAAATTTAACTCTGCCACCCTCACTGCTTCCTTTACCACTTAGAACAAAACCTAAACTCCTTATCCAAACGGTCCTCAGCAACCACCTCCATTACGCTCTACCCACACTGGACCTTCTTGAAGAAGCCAAGCTTAGTCCTCTCGGGAATCTGCACCAGCAGTCCATTCTGCTCTGAAAGTTCTTTCTGCAGATCTTTGCATGCCCAGCTTCTCTTGTCATTTTAAGCCTTGACTAAAATATTACCCCTAAGACAGGCCCTTTTTGATCACAGTCTCTAAAGTACTTGTGTACTTGATACCCCCTATAAATATCTTCCTACTTTCTCTATATTTCTCATATTTTGGGGGATTTCTCTTATTTGATCATTATCTGCCTGTTTATCTTATCCTCCTAGAAAACAACTGTACCAAAGCAGGGAGGTTTATTGTTTTCCATCCATAATACCTAGAACATTGTTCAGCTCAAAGTGGTTCTCAATCCAATATTTGTGGAATGTTTATGTTTGGGAAAGACTGAGCTTAAAAACAAAACAAGTTGAACGGATGTCTCAATTACAGGACTTCTCAGGCATGTCATGTGCTAACGTGCAAATTGCAGTGTATCAGCCCATGATAGGGACACTTACCTAGAACATCTCAAACATATTAGGCCACAGAACTGTCCCCCTCTGTTTTTGCTGTTGTTGCTGCTGTTCTTTTGCAGAGCACATTTCCAGACTAGTGTTTCCCAGAACATAAATAGGACAACATTGTTTAATTCCATGGATATTTAGACTCTGATAACCAGACCCTTAGGAGGTTCCATTCTGTTTCAATGACTAAAATTTTTTTGCTGAGGTTTGGTAAGAAAGGTTAGCTGTTTTCTATATAGCACTAACCAAACCTCATTCCCACCCAACCTTGAGAGCACTACAGTCTCAATTTCCATGGAAATCCTGATGATGTGCCTAAAAATTTGATCTGTTTATTTCAG